GCTAGAAGGAGCCGTCACTGTCTACCTCCCAGTTCACTCATCAGCCACTACACAAACAACGTACACTGGGCTGTTGGCGTGTCTGGTAATGCATCAGTATTGCAACCAATATAATTGACTTTCACAAAACACCTTTCCATCTTAGTATGGCTTTAGTCATACGAAGGCATAAAACCTAGCATGTGTAAATTGGCGTATGAAAGCGCTTCTGTGGTAAGTAATTATGTTAGAGACTTTAGCAATCTCGTTGTTTTGAAACTATGTAGGTGATTCCCAGGCGGAAAACGCAGACACATTCAAATTTTACAAAAGAACGGAGAATTATCAAAAATCGTCAATTTAGCTGGAAATACAGTATGAAATTGGCACTGCCTATAGTGTTGACCTTAAAATGCCCGCATCAATGCATGGTGTACTAATGAACGCACGCTCGTGTTTAAATCGTTTCTAACATTATATAACAAGTTGATAGCTATCTCAACTTCGAAAGCTCTATCGTCTTGTTCACCTCAGAAAGAACTAATCGAGCGTGAGCGCTCACTACCGAATGCCAATATTTACGATTTAAACTGGTAAAACATTTAGGCCATGGCACAAAGGGTCAAAGCGTAGGACCTCTAATCAGTAGGTTGTGAGTTCGGGCCCCAAGTGATGCACCAGAAGGTATGGCTGGCTGATGACAACTAAGAAGTCAGAAACAGCTACTCCAGCCCTCGCCGTCTAACTCCCAATCCACTCATTACAAAACATACACTGGGCTGCTGGTGAGTCTGGTAATGTATCGGTATTGCAACCAACATAACTGACTATCACAAAACATCTTTCCAACCTAGTATGGGTTTAACGATACGAAGGCGTAAATCCTAGCATGCGCAAGTTTGCGTATGAAAGCGGTTCTGTGATACTCAATTATGTTAGAGACCTTAGCACTTTCATTGCTGTGTAACTATGTAGGTGATTCCCAGCAGGAGAACGCAGACGCCATTCAAACTTGACAAGAGAACGGAGAATAGTCAAACGCTGTCTATTAGGTTGAAAAGACATCATGAATTTGGCCCTGCTTATAGTGTTGACATATGCCCGCCTGAATGCAGGGTTTGCTAACAAACGCACGCTCGAGTTCAAATATGCCCTGGCCTTTTTTAACCAACGACAACTTCAAAAACTCAATCGACCTGTTCACTTCAGGAGGAACTAATTGATCGCGAGCACTCATCACCGGATGTCAATGTTGTCGATCTAAACTGGCAAGATACCTAGACAACGGCTCAGGGGCTATAGGGTAAGACGTCTTAGCAACAGGTCGCGGGTTCGAGCCCCAATTGATGCACAACCTGGTATTGTGGGCAGATGACGGCTAAGAAGCCAGAAATAGTAAATCTAGCCCCTTGGCTTTGTTGGCAATGTACATCTATCTATACTACTGGTCACCGTGTGTCTACAAGCGGGACTTGAGAGTGAGCCCACCAGGCAAAACGGAGCGAGTGCCTACCGTTGACGATATGGGACCTTTCATTAACGAATTAAACGTCTTTCTACTGCATGCCAAAATTAACTTTCACAAACTGTTTCAACACACTTCATGCTCAGGCACGAGTGATAGGAATGATCACCATGTTTGTCCTCACTGATGCACCCTAAACGCAATCCGTCTTTGTCGTGCAGAACACGTATCTACATCCCTCAGTTCAACTCACACAGTTGTTAACTGAAATTCACAAAGCCAGATCTCAGACCTGCTTGCGTGCTGACGTCAGTGCACGTGTGTGAGGTTGAATACAAGTGATCTCCGAGTGAATTGGCGGCACCTTGTCCTCCAGCAGAGAGGCATCTGCCTACAGTCAGAAACCAGCCCACCTGCTAGCCGGTGCCCTTTGATTGGAGTTCCGGGTATGTGATATTTTGTTCGGTTTCTTTTTAATACGTCAAACATAATGGTACAAGTATGCCACCCAATCGTTTTCGTTTTAAAAACACCTGCTTACATAGCAGATACTTTCACTTTCCATGCCTGAATTTTCCAGAGATGGTCGGTCGTAATTTTTTAAGCACGCCCGCCGTGCTTATAAGCCCGATTAATTTCGAAATGGTCCAGGTAAATAAGTTGTACAAAGGTTACGCTGAAATATGTACACTGCAGTTAAACAATACATTGTTAGTATTCACCTATAGCAAAAAGGCAGACAGCTGGTTTTGTTCTGGCGTACGAAATAGTTTTAGTCCGAACTGTGTCTTCTTTCATTTAAGATACAGGACTGAACGTGCAGTTTTCTTTAGTAAAAGGCATTCAAAGTCAGAACTCTAATCACCAAATCAAAATTATCAAGTCCAAATGTACGCTAAACTACCAACTCGAATTTTGAATTTCACGTATTTGCATGAGTTTGGTCACCTATTGTAGTTTTGCGTAAAAGTAAAAGTCTATCGTAGCGGCAGATCAAGTCTAAGTCTCTGTACTTCTGTATTTTGACACGTCAGACATCATGCCAGAAACGGCAATGTAGAGAACGTCGAGATGCCGGCGTACACATGGGGAGGAAAGGTCTTCACAGCAATTACTTCAATAAAGGGGATTGATAACATCAGCCAATATACGATTAGCAACTTGCTTAGCCTTTATATAAAAACACTTCAATTAGATATTCAGCTGGCGAATACGTGTCAGCTTTTTCCAAGATAATTCCAAAGTATAGGTGTGGAACGCTGACCAGTAGTTTGCTTTTCCTTGAAAAAGTGGCACATTTGCAGCTGGATATATAGGGACTGACATTCTGTTCATAATGGAGCGTTTTTCACTATATTTGATTACATTGGGCGCTGTTCTTATATTGTAAATCCTTCTGGTCGAATGCATATTACACCGTGCGTAAACTGTTAAGCGTCTGCCCCTTTGGTTTCTATATAACTTATAAGTAGAAACTATTTTGTACGAAGATGTATCTTATTGCCTGCTTCAAATTAAACGAGATTGATTCCAGTGTTCATTTACAGGGTAAAATGTATGAATTGTTGTTTACGGTTTCAAATGTTTGGTGCAGTAAACCAAAATAGATGAAACAAGTTTTGCTGCGTTTTGTGACAAAAAACTCCGAAATTTAAAAATATTCTCGCTCAATTACGCCCCTTTTTCTGAGAGACCATGCCATTCCCCAAAATTCCTATCACGTATTTTTCACTAACTTAAGATTAGATTATTCTGTGTCAGAGGTGATTTGTTAAAAAAAAATCTTGTTTTTATGGATGTTCTTTTATAGTACAATGCACAAAATCAAAAGGCTTTTTATATGCGATAGTAGAGGACATTTCTTACATACCCCGCGACCTCCAACTTTGCCAAAATCTTGCCTGTTTTCCTTCAATATAAAGACTCAACATGCAGTCTTCATTACTAAAAGGCTTTCTGAGCACCAACTCCACACAACAGGGTAAAATAAGAAGATCAACTGTACGCTTAACTACCTAGTTATATTTCTTAGCCAAATTGTTCCTGGACTGTAACGCAAAGACACCCGTGTTGCTGAAGTTTCCTGTTCTGCTTAAGGGGCCATATGCACCCTTTTTACTCGCATTCCTTTATTTGCTTTGTGCTGTCTCAATTCATGCAGGCTGCATGCTTTTCAGTTGTCGCCTGCATCACATTAAGAGGTCCCATTTGGTTATTTTTAAATATACGACCTTGGACAGGTCGCAACATCAGGCGGTTTTTCTTCGTTTGGTCTACTTGCACAGGAAGCAGATGGTGCTGGAGGAAGCTAGGCACATGATTCTCAATCGCAGGCCTGGAAACGGACTACAAAAAGGGCGGCGGGCCGGGGGGAAAGGGGCACATGCTTGCACTTATAGTCAGCACAAAAGGAGTCAGATGCCTGGTGGAGTTATTATCATCGAAATAATTTCTTATGGTCAGCTCTCATGAGTTTCTTTGAAGCACACTGTCACGATGGCAACGGGGAGTCTGTTCCATAAACAAGTACCTTTAGAATAAGAACATAGGGACCATGATGATGATGATGATGAGGAGGAGGAGGAGGAGGAGGATGAATATTGGCATTTATTAGCCTGAGGTTTCGGATTCTTGCTCGAACCCACTATTTGAGACAGTCGCAGATAAGCACTCCTATCTAATTATAAGAAGTGACTGGTTTATTTAGTTTTTTTTTCTGTCAGAAAAGCTAGTCAAATATGTTCTCGTGGTAGATGGATTACATTTAGTTTACTAAACCTCCATCCCTTCAGCTTTTGCCTTCAGCCTATCAATAGGTATGTTTCAAAGATGCTGACGTTTCAGAGGTTTTGCATAGAGGACATAGATCGTCCAGGTTACTTCTAATCCATGGAGGAACTGGTGATCAAGCGGATCAAACCGATGAAACCTATGTATTTGTGCTTTGTGCCAAACACGTAGACACCCAAGTATGGATTTGGAAAACGGTGCTACATTTAAGTAACTACGTCTAAACCAAAAAAGGTGTTTTAACGTTTCAGTAGCATTAGGAAGGGTTAAATTGTTGTGACTGATGAACATGACTCCCTCTGCTGAAAAGGATACCAGAAGTTAAACTGAATACGTTTTGCATCCGTTACCCTAGTGTGTAATGGAGAACACTCGGTACTGCCTCCTTGCTTGGATAATTGCCGTTGCAACCTTATTTACCCTTGCGGCAACTCTCGGTGGTGGGGCTTATCTATGTGGGACTTATTGCTACACCAAACCCAACAGTGGGTAAGTGTTAGTTTTCTATTGGTAATTGCATAATATTGTTAATGAAAAGCCATTGTGTTGCAATGTATATTTTGAAAATTTGAACGACAACCCTGCCTATGCATGCTTTCGTATACTATGAGAAATGGATGAACTGGAGAACGCGTAGCAACACATCATCCAAATATATTCTTTAAAGAATATGGTTGAATGTAGCATAAGTGTTTATAATAACTGTGTGGACTGAAAATCGGCATAAAACTACTTTTGAATGGATTAGTTATCGCTACAAGCCCGTGCCTTGCCCGTGGTTCTAAGGCGACCGTTTCAGCCAATTCAACAACAGACTTGAACAAGAATTCGGAGACATGTAAGATAACCCTATACGTGGGATGGCGTTGTGACATTGTAAGGCTGCATTTCAGTTGTGGTCAGTTTACGAAATGCACAACTTGGTTTGCCAACAATATAAAAAGCGTGGATTTATTGACTTAGTTGTAGACCACTGTACGAGCGTTTTGACTGAAAATGTCAAGATGTCTCCGCGTGCTCTTCCTATTTTGAGGGCAGATTGATGATCTAGTTCAAATCGTATGAGGCCCGTGCGTTAAGTTGCCTTGCATACGGTCGAGTTTCTCTCTGTACACATTTTGTCTTAAGAAAACTACCCTACGAGTAAGATGTTGCATAATGTGAATCACTTTATATATCTTACAAGAAAATAAATAAATTTGGGTATACTATGTATAACCAATGAACATTTCACGGTCGTAAAAATATCCATAACAGTTCAATTTAAGTCATAAAACAGCACCCAAAAAATCCATCCTTCTGTAATACGTAACAGATGGAAACAAAGTTTAAGTTGGGCGGATAAAGACAAAAATATATTTAAAAATAGAGCGTATAAAAGAAGAAAATTATAGGAATTATTTTTTAAGTAACCTAATAACCGAATATTTGCGCGCGATAATTAAAATGGCACAATGGTTCCCAAATAGACATAATCGTCCAGTCTCTGTCATTTCTATATAATATCTATATAATCTTTATAGAGTTGATATAGAGTCGACGATTATGTCCAATTGGGCACTATTGGGTCATATTAATTATAACGTACAAATATTCAGTTATTGAACTAGGTTGTTTGATGACCTAAATTGAACTATTAACAAAATCTCACGATTACAGATTTGTTTGAGGTTCAATAGGTTCTTCGGGAAAGATAATTTTTATTTTGTGAATTTTCGAAGCTGGAGACCCCGCTTCGTCTTCAGACATGGGGAAAAGTGAATGCAAAAACAACTAACAGTTAACATTTTGAATCGTAGGAAAAATCAATAATGCAGTGGCGTAGGCTCCTGCAGTGTGTCTCCTTCTTTTCGGATAGGTTCGCGTCTCGCGCATTTCTGTTTGAGGCTTTTGTACGAACAGTCCAACTCGACATGTCTGTTGATGCCGTGATTCCGGAGATACCCGCGCAGGGCAACATA